AAAAAAAAAAAAAAAAAAAGAAGAAACAACGAGCGTACGAAATCTTTCGACCAGTGTGAAAAGTGGCCCGATTGATACGAGGAACCGGAAACACGGTGGGGAAACGGTCAGTTTTCGGTTCGTTCGCGAGGCACGATATGTAAATTCACCGGCAGATAACATTTCCCGAGCGATATCATTGTTTCAAAATTTTCAACGTGCGTCGATACGCCGAGCGGACGCGTGCGGGCCTCGTAACTAGCACACGCAAATCGCGCCACTGCAAGGGGCAAGTTCCTTCTTCTCTCCAACTTACTTTCAAGATCAGCACGTTCTCGTCTCGTTTCCCACAACGTGGAATTTCAAGCAACCCTCTGCTTCGATAACGCAACAAAACTCAAGCTTCGAACTTCACGTTGCGACTTCACGTTCTAAAAAGTGTTTCTCTCCGAACTGTATCGTCCGCGCGACTGCCAGCTCCATTCTTCCATTCTTTCATTTTTGATGACGCGTCGAACTGCCCGACTAACAACTAACAATTTCTCAAGGAAACGTAGGAAAGCAAGGAAAAAAAAAGAAAAGTAGCCAGAAGACGAAAGTGTATCGTGATACACAAATAAAAAGCAGCGGCGGTGAGGATCGAGACGGAGGGAAAAACGCGGAAGGTGGGAATGCTCGCCTGGACGCATTGAGATGCAAATTCACGCGGTTGCCCGCGTGATTTACGAGGGACAGACGCGTCCGTACGCGATTGGAACCGAGAGAGAACGTTCGAAGATGTTCGAGGGACGTACGGATAAGATCTCTTCAAAACACACGCTCGTCCACAATGGAACCAGGATTTTCTACGATTTTCTACGACAGCGGTTTCAGATAAGCACGGCGATTCCCCAGCGGCGCTTGGGAAACGTGTCTTTTCAAATGTTTGACGATGTTTGCGCGCGTTTCTTTGAGACGCGATCGATTTGATTAATTTGAAACGTCTGAGCACGCTGTATAATTCTCAGGACGCTGCGTGTGATTCGCTGATTTTTGGTTTGATTATTTCTGAAAGAAGCTGGGAAAGCTCCTTAGCGGCAGAGTTCAAGCTGTTTGAGATTGTTGTTGTTGTCTAGAGCTAAGATTGTTTTCATTCGGGGACTGTCAGAGTTTCGTTAATTTGAATTTTCGTAAAGAAAAGGACAGAATTTTCCCATATTTGTAAAAAATCGGATTAACAACTTTGGCACATTTATTGCAGCAAAGATAACTTAAAGTTTCTAGCTAAAGCTGTTCGATATTTCTAAAAACTTTTCTAATCGATGAAATAAATCTATTAGCACGTAAAAAAGATGTGGGCCTAGGTTATACAGAACGGCAATAAACGTGCGAATGGCTTGATTGAAGTGAATAAAAGTAGAATCGTAGAGAGTAAGATTTACTACCAGTGATACCACTTTTTTCGCGTAACAACGCTCAACAACTTTACACGTGTTTCTCAACTAGATCAGATTACGCTGCGAATTAATATCGAATTAATAGTTTTCGATCTCGTTACTTATTCATTGCTCGACGAAGAATTGAAATATCAAACGCGTGCAGTGAATCTGAAGGATAGTTCTAGTTTGCAACGAAAGACTTTCCCATTTCAAATAGAATTTCATTTCAACAGCTATTTAACGGTTAAGTGAGATTTATTTGAATAAAATTTCGAATGTCTGAGAGCTCGGAAGAGAAATGATGGCCGGACGAGGATGCGAGCTGGCTGGTCGCGTGCAGGTTGTCGCGAGTGCAGCCTCGCGACTACCGTTCGAAGCGTATTGACGCGGATTGCAGGTGCAGGTTAAATCGAGCAGACGGTGGTGGCGTCGCGACGCCGGCTGCGCACGGCTACGCAACCCTCTCTCCACGCTGTCCGAGCGATGGTAGGGGCAAACAGCAAGAGAGAAAATTTATAAAGAGCGGGCTGGAGGGGGTAGACTACTTGTTGCGCGTCGCGGCGCCCTCGTGACGCCAACATACCCCCTTCGTTTTCTCGACCACTACCACTACCGGTACTACTCCTACTACTACGACTACTATTACTACTAGTACGCCCCTTCGCTGGCGACGCCACCGACGCCACCGACGCCACCGACGCCACCGACGACGACGTCGCTACCACCACCAGCGCGTTCTGGCCACCACCGACGTCGACTCGTCATGCCGCTCGACAAAAATAGACGTGTAGTCGCGACGCAACAGATATCATTCGGCCTCGCGCGCGCCTCCTACTTCCCCTATCCCCATCCTTTTACTCATCTAACTTCTTGCTCTTTTTCTTTCTCTTTTCATTTGATCAAATCCTCACCACAGTTTGTACGCAACACGTAAAATATATTCAATTCTATTCTCGAAGATACTTGTAAATAAAAGAAACTTTCCGAATGTCTCCTGGTAAAAATAACGAATTGAACGTAGTAAAAAAGTGAAAAAGGCAAAATAAAAGGCTCCACTAACCTGAATCTGATGACCGGGGTTGTTGATGTGTAGCTGTTGCGCCTGGTTAATTTGCAGAGTGGACGTGCCGGGTCCCGAGGGAGGTCTTGGCGGCGTGGAGCTAGTGAAAGGTCCCTGGGATCCGGTTTGATTGGGTCCGGCGCCCTGAGAGCCTCTCGGTGGCAGTGGATATCCTGGACTGCCGTGATTCGGCATCGATCCTGGGCTACCGTACGGCGAGTACTGTTGCTTGTATCCTCCGCTCGGTCCAAGCATGGTCGGCTTGCCGCCTGCGGCTGGCTGCGGTCTCTTCATATCCGCCAGGCCGGCAGCGAACTGAGTTTGCGACCCGACGAACATGTCGTTCGTCTGCTGGCTCTGGAATCCAGCCGTGCCGTTGTTCTTGTGATACGACCCAGTGCCGGTGGTCGCCTGAGACTGTGCACCAGGTGGGCCGGTGCTGCCAGGACTGCCCAGATAGTCGGACGTGCCGCCAAACTGGGGAAATTCGGCGTATGGTGACCTAGCAGTAGAGCCTCTAGCTGCCGCCGCCGCCGCGCCAGGATTAAATCCACCGAGACCAAGCTGTTGACTCTTGTGCTGATGTTGCTCAGCCATTTGCTTCAGCGTCTGAGCAGCCGGGCTCATCTCGGACTTGAAGTCCAGGCTGGAATACGGTAGTCTAGCGGGGGAGTACTGTGCAGAAGCGAGACCTCCGGGGCTCGAATTGGCCGGCACATTGGCGTTCCCGTTGTTCGTGGGAGTGCCGTTGTTCACGCTGTTGCTGTTTACGTTGCCGTGCTGCTGATGCATCGAGTCTTTGTCGTCCTCGATCTTGATCTGACCGTTGTTCGTCCCGATGCTGTTATTGTTGTTGTTGTTGTTATTGTTGTTATTGGCCGCAGCGGCGGCCGCAGCAACCACCGCCGCGTTGTTCGCCAAAGCCTCCACCGGAATCTTCTCCTCGAAGTCAAAGTCCTTCATGAACTCGGGATGCAGGTCAGAGATCTCCGAGATGAGATCCTTGAACGCGTCTGACGTGATGATCTCGTCGCCAGTGTCGTCGCCCATAAAGTCGGAGAAACCAGGGAAACCGGCGCCGTTCGCCGCTGCATCTTTCTCCAGCGCTGCAGCGCACTGCTCCAAGTCGACGAATTCATTGTCCGGCTCTTGCTTGCACTCGACCAGGTTACCTATGTCCACGCAACCGATACCACCGGGTGCCGGTGGCCCGGTACCGGCCGCACCGCCGCCTGGTCCACCACCGGCACCGTTTCCCGTCTGCGGTCGCGACGTCGCAGAGGCTGGCGTGTCTGGGCCCGACTTCGGCGATGACGACGCGTTCAGTAGGTCGCTCTTCACCGAGGCGTTGGTCAACGCCTTGACGGTCACGTTCGTGGAGATCTGTTGGGCCTGCGAGTTGGCCGCGGACGTGGTGAACTCCAGTTGTTGCACGATCTCTACGGAGAACTTGGTCAATCCCTCGTTGCCACCGCCACCACCGCCGCCCCCACCGGCACCATGCGTTGCACCCGTGGAGTTCGCGCCGTTTCCAGCACCGGGGTGTTGACCATGGGGACCGTGATGAGACCCACCTTTTCCGCCGCCGCCACCGGGACCTTGCTGATGTTGATGCTGTGCTTGTGTGCATTGCAGCTTCACCGGCGGCTCGCCGAAGCCGCCGTCTCCGCTACCACTGCCGGCTGGCTCCAACTCCTCGGCCGTCCTCTTCACGAATTTTTGCTGCTGAAACGAGAAAGAGAAAATGTCGATCAGTTTAGTCGTAGCTTTATCATAGCCGAGAATTAGAAAAACGTGGAATAATGCTTCCTGATTGTGTAACTGACAGCGAAACTGGGTGAGCAAGTGCATTGAATAATAAATGGATTTGAAATTCACACTAATTTTTACGGATTCGCCTCCCTTCGTTGGTTTGAGCTTCAACGAAGTTTAAGCAGATGAAGATTCCGACGAATCCCTATTTACAATAATTATGAAAGGGAGGAGAAAATAATTATTTATATCCTGGTTTTTGTTACGTATAATTATTCTTAGGAAAGTTGGTACTAAACTAATAATATCGTAGTCAGATTTTTTTTAAACGTCTCAGTTTCAAATACAAGTGTTCATTGATCATCACCTTTCGTTTCTCGATAATTATCAACACATTTTGTAGCACATTTTGTCAGCAATAGCATAAAGACACAGATAAAGCTAAAGAAAACAATTTTCACCGAGTGATTTAGTGAGGTAACGAAACTGGTTGTGCGAGAGATTTACATAAAATATTCTGCGAACGCGTTAAGGAATTCATTCATAGCAAGCCTCCGCGTGAGCTCTAGTCAATAATTCCTCATTAACTCGTACATCACAAGTTACACGATCAACCGACAACACCACGTTCTAAGGGATGAAAATCAACGCGAGAAACAAAAGAAGATGTTTAAGATCTCTAAAAAAAAACTCAAAGATCTTCGTCTCGCTCGCTTTGGACAAGCACGAAAGACTAAAGAAGATTTAAAAAGAGAAGGCAAACGTCTATACAAGGAGGGAAGAAAATGTCGACGCGGATCGGCCGGTTTTCTGACGAGGACCGTGCCACACAAGGCGAAAACTGTTCCCCAGAATCCCGTTTCTCGCGTCTATTACATCGCGCGCAATCCAGCCCGGGTTTCTCGCTTCTCCGGGGTGAAAAATACGGGCGTTCCGGTTCCGCCAGGCGACGGAAATGTCTGCATTACCGCGTGCTTTCTCCGCAATTTCCTCGCGGCTCGCCAGAGACGCCTGGGACACCATCGTCGACCAGAGGCCGCGTTACACCGAGATTTATCGCATTCGGCCAGGTCGCGCGTCCCGCGATACACTCCCACGTCAAACCGCCCTCTTCTACAGTTTCCTGAAGTTTCCTTCTGGAAATTCCCGTCCCCTCAAATCGTCGATTCCTCGATCGGAATCGGTCGTCGTTCGATTTTAGCACGGGTGTGACGCTTGAAGGATTGTTAACGAGACAGTGTATATTACGTTGTGTAATAAATTGTGTAATATGTGTTATACAAGCGAAGTGGAAACATAAGTCGAAAATAAAGAATATTTATATTTATAAATTAGAGTATTTGCATTTATAAATTATTTATATTAATATTTTATAAATGTCATACTCATATTATAAATTATAAATTTTTTTTTTCGTTCGAAGTTTTGTAATTTTCGAGAAAATTAGCTTTGATCATTGCTGCGAGTACGCGTGCACTTATTGTCAGCTGCGACTTGAAATCGTAGTATGAAGTATCTTACAGGCATATCTTATTTTCATCTCTGAACTCATTCTAAGTAAACAGACAATAAACTAATCAACATTGCAAATTTGTAAAATCACGCATCATCGAAATTCATTCGTGTATTCCGTCGTTAATTCTAATTTTAATTTTGTCAACTTATCGTATGGAAAACACGAAAGAAGAAGGATAGCGTTCTTCTATTCACATTGTCTTTGTCTTTCACGCATAGATTTTACAAAATTAAAATTGAAATATCTCCTAAGCTAGTGATTTTTTTAACATAAATACATTTAACATTAATACTTTTTTTTTTGGTAAAGAATGTCAAGGTGCGTCAACTGATGCAATAAAAAATATACGATTCCATTTAAAAAAAAAAAGCGTTAATGACCTTCATATGTCTTCTACACGTCCACCTACAAGAAGAGTAGCATCATCAAAATCTACCCCTCTCGAAACCATTCAACTTCGTCTGAAACATTTTTCGCTACGCGTAGTAACAATGATGTAGATCTAGATGGCAATATATGACTGACCTTGTATATTACTACTCAACTTCTCAACGACATCAGGAGGGAACTGCGACTCGTTCAAAAGCACAAACAACAATCGCATAAAAGACAAAATTGCTCGCTTCAGCATCAGCCGTTCGAGAACATCTTCCAACACAGTCAATACGAGAAAGTAAAAAACGCACGAGCATTACGAGAAATGCAATCGAAACCGTCGACGACGACGCAGTTATTAACGCGAACATAAATCTTCGCCCGTCCGCTCGGTTTCATCAACTTGCCTGTCTCTTCCACACGCTTTCTCCCTCTTTCTCTCTTTCTCTGTTTCTTCGTGCCATCTTCCTTCGATCCTCGACCGACGAATCTTTGAGACTTGACAATGCGTCGTGGCGACAAAGTCGGAAATAAATCACGGGAATCCATTGATTAACCTTCCGTTCTGATACACTGCGAATTTTCACCTCGCGAGTTTCTTACTTCGTTAACCTAAAGTTGTTCCGACTCGAACGACGACCCGTGAAATTCAGTATAATTTAGTACGATCCACTAACGTAATTGATGTTAATTTTACAGTTGTAATTCAGCAAAGACAGAGATAGTTGTGTCACAATATGAATTTCCTTGGAGAAAATATGAATAGATGCTCAATTGCAGGAGAATTACCCTTCGTGACACGTAAAAGCGAAATTTCACCCCTTTGAAAGTGTTTTTCGTCAGAAAATAAATTTCCTCAAAAGAAGAAGAAAAAAAAATATATCAAGAGATATTCAATTGCAAGAGAATTACTCATTGTGACAAAAGCGAAATTTCACACTTTTGATATAACGTTCGCTACAGTTCTATCGCAAAATAAATTTCCTTCAAGAAAATATGAAAAGACACTCAATTGAAGGGGAATTACTCTTCGTAACACGTGGAAGCGAAATTTCGCCTTTGTGTTTTGTACAAATTTCAATAGAGATGATTTTATACAAGTACAATATGAACTTCCTTAAGTAAAATATTAAAAGATACTCAATTGTAAGAGAATTACTCGTAATGTGTATTAGGGGTGCTCGTAAGTATTGTCCTTTTTTTCGACACTGTACAAAATTCTATTTTATTTAAGAGTTAGTACAGTTTTAATCTATAATATAATTTAACAATAAGCACGCTAAGTGTCAATATATTTAACTAAAGTATAGGTTATGTAACAAGTCAAAATATTGTCACTTATATAAATAAAACCCAAGTTTCACCCTTTTTCTAAAAATTTCACTGGAGACCCTATCGCGACATAAATTTCCTTGAAGGAAATATTGAAAGATACTCGATCAATTCAAGAGGATCATTCTTCGTAATGTGCAAAGGCGAGATTTCACCTTTCCACTCCTCCCTGGAAGTGTTTTCTACTTTGAAAGGAATTTGCGACGTACGAAATTATAACATGTGAATTTTACGATTTTTCGCCGATGTACGCCAGCTCGCTGTCTATTACGCTCGAAGAATTCGCGCGAACGATTAATTTGATGTTTAGAGATGGCGAATTAATAGGTGGCCGGCTATATACGTGCGTATAAACGGGATCTCGACTAACCGGGAACCGTTTTCGGAGCTGATTTAACCCACCCGAAATCGGCTAACGACTGCATCCAGCGAGTTTGGCGAACTTGGAGCCGACATTGTGCCACCTCGACCGGAAGTAACAGCTCACAATTCCTATTTGCGCGCTCGACTGTAATTGCATTCTTTAAGTCGAGTGCGAATGGTTATTTCCCAGCGGTTTGTCGAGAGACTTTGAAAAACATATTTGTTTATTTAGAATTCATACGGATGTCAAAGTGGTAAAAATCGAAATCGTTGTGAAAAACGCATCAAAACTTCTAGGGGAAAAAGAGAGAAAAAGAAAAGAGGAAAGGCAAGTATAACAATAAAAAAAAATATATAAAAAAAAGAAATCGCGTACAGTTTCATAGAGTCGATATAATAATATAATATAAATAGAAATTAATTTTAAATGGGCGCATGTTTCCACGCAACTTTCAAATGTAACGTGCATACATTTCACACGAATTCTTCTTTCTCGTTCGTTCAGTTTACTCACACAGTTGAAAGATCGATGGCTGCTCTATTGATGAAATTTCACCGGAATTTCGTTTAATTTTATTCTTTCTTTCTCTCAGCTGGTGTTCGCCAACATCTACTAATCGTTCACAGAAGAAGAAGGGAACGAACAAACGAGAGAAAATTTCACAAGCGAAACGAAATCACCAGAAGCGAGCTTGCAAATAATCTCATTCATCGCGGAGACGTTCGCGGTCTCGAGTTGGTATTCACTGGCATGAACGTGTATTTTCCTCGGCGATATTTCCCGGGCGACGACGTATCAATAATAGAAACACAGACGTTCGACAGCGGGGAAAAATCGAGCGATCTGTTGAATCCCGATGGACGAAACGACAAGAAACATTGTCAGCGAGTAACCTTGAGGTGCACGGGTGGATTCAGCGTTACACGCAGCATTCCGCTGGCCGACCATTAACGCACGACCTAAATTTGACGACTCGGCCACCGGTCTCCTTCGCGAATAATTCGATTCTACTCGAAATGCAGCGAAGGGCGCGTAACTGTACCAATGAAACCTTGTGATAATGAAAATTGTCGACAGTTTAATTTGGCGTGACTTCGTCGAATAAAATAACCTACTGCAATCGGTTAGGCCTTTCTACGAGAGGAACTGGCAGTTAGTTTTAATTGTCAATTAAATACAGGAAACAATGCACAAAATAACTTTCGGATAATATGAAAAAAAATATATTAGATTTCTTTTTTTTTTTTGTAAGAATTAAACGAAAGAACCGCAGAATTTTTAAATCAAATTTTGAAAACTGATCGTTCGACCGGGCGTTGGTCCTCTGCTTTGATCCTCTTGAGTTTCAAAAATGATTTCACGCGTAATATTCCTGTAATAAGTAGG